TTTTAGAAAATTACTATATGAAAAATTATAAATTAAAAACAAAATCAGTAAAAGAAAAAATAAAATATTACAAAGAAGAATTACAAAATAATTATTGGGATTTAATTAATTTAATTGCATATAAAATTGAATTATTGGGGGAAAAATTGAAAATATTGAATAATGAAAATGAAAAAATAAAAATTAAAAAACAAATTGATAATTTAAAGAAAAAGATTAAAATTGAAGGTAATTAATTAAATCCTATGTAGTTTCAAAAATCCAAAATGTGCGATTATTCCTCATTTTGTGGGGATGTTTAAAAATTTAAGATCAGAGCTTTAGTTAAAATCTGGAGTAGATTTCTAGAAAGTTTTAAACACGCATCCATTTATTTTTAAATATTTTGATCTTGAATCAATCTTAAATAAAAAAGTTTTTGTCAGTTTTTGCTGGCTTTTACTAGCAATTTAGTGTCTAAAATAAAAATTATAGTAATAAGTAATAAAACAAGTCTATTTTAAATAAAATTTGAAAATTAAAGGAGAAAAGCTAAAAGAACAGAGAAAATATGTTTGTTTTTATTAAATAATTATTTTAAAATTAAAAGAAAATTTTAGGAAATAAAATTAGAAAAATTGGGGTCTGGTCTACCATATACTGATGAGGATATTACAGAATTATCTAAAGAATCTGATTTTAAAGAAAAACAGATCCGCGTAAGTTTTCATTATTAAAAATTATTTAATTCAAAAATTTTCAGAGAATGATCAATGTAAGTACATACTACGCTGTAGAAGTTGTGAATAATTTTTTCTTTTACTTTTTCTGCTATTAAATAAGATAATTTGGTACTTTTCCGTTATACAACCGCAAAATGAGTGCTATCCAAATTTGATCGGCTATAACTTTCAGATTCTTGATCAAATACACATGAATTATATATCATTCAAAAGCCCTCGATAAGCAATATTATTTTTTAATAGGTATAGCAAGTCTTATAAGTTATCAAAAAATTATAACCCGATAATTGCAGTTATTTGGCGTTTTCTCATTTATCGGGTTTTAACTTTTAAACGAGGGATCAGACCTGATCCAACAAGTTGGAAAAAAGATACCGCTTATCGAGGGATTTCGGAGGATATCAAATCTATTCATATTGGATCGGGTAACAAAGTTGAGGTCGCATGACGAAAAAGTTAAAGGAAAAATTTTTTAAGAGGTCTTAGAGTAGTTTTTTAATTTTGTTGGGGTCTTCATAAGCTATTTAGAACACCTCATATAAGATGTTTAAATTTAAGTAACTCGAGATAATTTTCTCTTGATATAACGAACTTTTTCATTACTCCCTTTGAGTTCATTATATCGAGAGTTGACTCTAATTAATATTTGAATTTAAACAAAAGAACAAGAGAACTGAATACAACGTAAATGGCATAAAATTCAAAATTATTAAAACAAATTTTAATAAAATAAAAAGCAGAAACCAAAAGGAAACTTCAGGTTTTAAAATTTTACATAAAAGGCAACACGGTTGCGTCGCAATTACGAATTACGGCGTTTTTTGAGTTACGAATTACGATTACGAAAAAAATTTCGATTACGACACAACTCTGGTATACAATCGAAGCACTGCCGGGATAATTCACATCACAGTTTATATCACCACCCATATGTTGCGTTTTGCGTAATTTATTTTGCAAATGCAAAACAATTATTTACTCATTTAATGAGTAAAGGTTCGAGCCTCCTCCTTTTCCTTTCCCTATCGTATGAATTGATGGGTCCGGCTCTACTGGCCAGCTCCGGAACTAGCTCACGGAGCCATATCGAAAGTTGACTCTGATTAATACATATGTATTTGACTGGTGAAGTCCAACTATAATAATTATTTTCAGTCAAAATGTTTGATGTTTATTTGAAAGAAAACCCATTGATTTTGAAAGGAGTAGAATTAAAAATAATTGAAGATAATTTTAATAGAAGAAAAAAAGTATTAATCGAAAATCATTTTCTTAAATACAAGTCAAATAAATTTTATATTGAAAAGAATATGCTAAATAAATTTATGGAAACGAAAAAACAAAAATACAAAAAATTAATAAAAATTGAAATTAATTATTTGGAAGATATTGAATTATGTAAATTAACACATAAAATTGAGATGCCAGAAGAAGAGTTTATTAAAATGATTGGAGAAGATGATAAAGATTTTGAAATTAAATTGAAAGAAATTGAAAAAAATTAGTAAAAGGAAATTAAAAATTATTTAAATGAGTTAAATCCTGTTTTAATTTAACATTAATGTTAACTATTCAAGTAGATAGTCAGACCTCAATTTTACATAAAACCATGGGGCTGAAAATTTTTATTTTATAATGATTTGTTCTTAAGTATGAGAATTAAGATGCACCTTAAATTTCAAATAATAGTCACCAAATATAAACAAAATGTATCGTAAATTGAGATATTATCTAGTATTGAATTTATCTCATGGTGAGGTCTGATTGTATGTACTTATTTTTTATAATTATTTTAAATTTTTTAAGTACATATTTACAGTAAAAAAACTTTTAATAATTGTGGTGTTTTATGAAGAGATCCTAAGAGAAAAAAATTAAAAATTTCTAATCGAGTCCTTTATATTTATCAACATAAAAAAAAAGTCATCGAAAGGGCGTGCCACTTACTCCGACAACAATGTCGTAGTGTGGCACTTAAAAGAAGCAATAAATATATAAAAAAAAAAACAGCAAAAAAACAATAAGTCAATAATAATTAAGGGAAAAAAAAACACATATAAATTTATATTTAATTGATTTATTTGTTTAAATAAATATACTCCGTACCGACTATTTTACTTATTTAAGGTGCTTTAATAGAAAACATAAATCAAAAATCTAAAAAGAAGGTCCATTAATTTAATTTCTGTTGCAATTTTGTCAAAATTTAAAGAATTAATTTCTTCAACAATTTTGCTGCGTTTTTCGTTGTTTGTCATATTTGCTGCAAAATTTAAAGGAGAAAATTCTGAAGAATTGCGCTTAGACATGTCAAAAGAATATTACCCAATTAAATGCCTTTTTTAAAAATTTCCTTAAAGAAAAAATATTGTTTAAAAAATAAAAATAAAAAATGATAAATTTCAATAAAAATTAAGAAAAAAGGGAAAAAAACAGTTCTGATTTTATGAATCATCAAAAGAGAAATAGCACAGATGATAGAGAGAAGAGAAAAAAAAATACTAGTATGAATTGTCATTTAAATAAATTTTTTAGATAGAATGCCATATTATATATTAGATTTACAATTTAAATATTTTTTTAGATATTTTTAGGATTTGGAGATATTTTTAGGTTTTAGGATTTGAATTTTTTTTTAGGATTTAAAAATGTTTTCTCTATCACCTGCGATTAACCTTGATGATCTATAATATTTTAATTTAAAGCAGTTATTCTCTAAAAACAAGCCAATTTTTATATTCGAAATTTAATTTTAAAAAAAATATAAGGGAGGATTGGCAAAAATGAAGTTTTGAATTTTTTTAGATATAATGTTAAATAATAAATTCATTTATCAATTTGAATATTTCCTTGAGGGTGAAAGAAAAATAGAGAAAAAATATTCAATATTTAGAGCAATAGGCCTTTTTTTAATAGTTTGTAATTTAAGGGAATTTACGAGAATTGATTTTATTTTTTCTTGATAATAGCAATAAAAATAAAAATAGATTGGATTGTACCTATTGAATAAGTATTGCTTTTATTTTATTTTTGAAACTAAGTGTTACTTTTGTGGTTCTAAGTTCATCAGTTAAAACGTTCCACATTTTAGTTACCCTATTTACAAATGAGTTAGATGATTTTGAAGTTTGATTTTTAGATAACAAATAACAGTTTTTTCTATTTGATATTTTAAAAAGATTTTCTGATTTAATATGAGTGTATCCATGTAGGATTTTATGAGCTAATACTAAATCATATGTCTTACGACGGTTTTCAAGAGTAGGAAGATTAAGAAATTCCAATCTTTGAAAATAAGGTATATAGGGTAATGAACATTTTCTAAGTAGGATTTTTGTAAAGAATTTTTGACATTTTTCGAGTTTGTTAATTTCAGATTTTAGTTGTGGATTCCATGTTTCAGGAGAGTATTCCAGCAATGGTCTTATATAACTTTTATAGATTGTAAGCCATGTTTTTATAGATTTCGATTTAATTATCTTAAACACAAAATTCATTTTTATATAAGCAGCCCGAATAATTTTTTGTACATGTTCTTGAAATTTAAGTTTATTATCGATTATGATGCCTAGATCTCGTATAGAATCTACTTCATTTATAGATGTATCAAAAATTTTATATTGATCTTTCGGGTTAGTTTTACCAAGATAAATAATATATGTTTTATTAATAGCTATATTTAATTTCCATTCAGTTGCCCATTGTTCAATATTTTTGATAGCATTAGTAAGTATTCTTCTTTCATTTTTTGTTTTATGTATAACATATACTTTAACATCATCGGCAAAAAGTTTAATTTTTATACCATTCGGAATTACATCAGGTAAATCATTGATATAAATCAAAAATAATAGTGGGCCTAAGACAGATCCTTGTGGAACACCTGATTTAATATTTCTAGGGTTGGAAAATGTATTGTTTATTTTGACTCTGAAAGTTCTATCAGAAAGAAAAGATGAAATCCATCTTAAAATTTTTCCTCTTATGCCTATTTTATATATTTTATTGGTGTTTTATGAAGAGATCCTAAGAGAAAAAAATTAAAAATTTCTAATCGAGTCCTTTAATGATTAAGGCTAGTTTAAAGAAGCTTATAACTGTAAAACATAATATATGCAGCTGGGATGTGCGCCAATATTTCGCGTGGTGCGACAAAAGCCAAACCCAATTTTTTTTACAGCAATAAGTTTCTATATATAGAATTTTATTAAAATAAAAAACTGATAATTTTAACAATTTATTTTGATAAACTGATAATTTTAACAATGTCACCTTCTACTAATAACAATCTTTTGTTCCACACTCATCGTTGTCAATATTACAACCATTCTTCAAATCATCAATCAATTCATTAATCTGGAAAATCGTTGGAAATTAAATTAATTTTATTCAAAATTAAAATTAGCAAAGAAAATCTTACACTTTTGTGATTATTTCTCTCATATGCATTCCTCTCATATTTTCTTCTTTCCATCGATTCCAATTGCTTTGTAAACATAATCAATTTTTTGTTAATTTCAACTAAATAAAATTTAATTTATTTTGATTTTATTCGACAATTTCAAAGATACTTTTGCCGAAATCTGTATAAAGAGTTTCACAAAGTTGAACAGACATTTTAATTACATTCAATGATTCCTCCTCTTCTGGTTCGATATAGTCAATAAGTGCAACAACGCCTTTTATCAATATTTCTCTAGAATCTGATTTCAATTTTTCATCAACGTTAGCATTTAAATCATCGAGTTGTTTTAAAGCAAACAAAAGTATGCTTTGCCTGTTAAAATAAATTCTGCCTTCCTTTTTAAAATTTTCTTACTTGATTTGGTCATTTTCAGTATTTGCACTCCACACTTCTGACAACCTGCCAATCAATTCTTTTTTAAACAAACGTGTCAACAAAACAAAAGCTGGTAACCGAAGAAATTCATTACTAAAACCAATGGAAATTTCAAAAAGTCGATTGAAAAGTTTTTGATTATCTAGAAATAAATAAAAAAAAACAAAATATTTATTTTAAATATTCTAGTTACCAAAACTGTGTTTATCACCGAGAATACTAAGAATTTGTAAAGCAGAATCCAACAATTCCCATCTTTCTGAATCTTTAATAAAAAGAAAAATACGAATTAAATTTAAAAATTTTTGTCTATAAAAAAACGGCAGCCTTTCCCATAATTTTCCATGTAAAGTAATTAATAAAGTTAGTATTAAATGTTTTCTAATAATAATTGTCCACATTTTTACTTATTTTTAAATTTAATTTTTATATTCATTTTAAATATGTCTACTTTGTATGTCTGTCAGGGGTCTAGCCGACCCGATTCCCGAAAATCGAGAATTTCCAGAGGGTTTTGGATTATGGATTCCCGCTAAATCGCGAACTAAATTTTCTCGGGAATAACCGATTCCCGAAATCGGGAATTTCATTTTGATGTTGGCTAGAACCCCGATGTCTATGTACTTGCTGTCTAAAGTGCTTTTGAATGGAAGGAGGAAAAAAACTTTTAGGGCAAATTTCCCGTTATTTAAAAAAACTTACATATTTCCTCCTCTTGATTCAACAACAAAACTGTACTTAACAAGCCACATATTTGTTCAGTTAATTGAGAATTTCTTTGCAAAAAGCGCCCACCGCTTTGTTGTTCGAGCATTTTGAGGAGTGAAATTGCAGAAGAACTTTCCTATTTTATTATTGTATTTTTAAAAGAAATAAAATATACCAAAAGATACGGAAGAATATATTGTTCAAATAATTTGATTATACTTTCAATATCACAAACATCAAGCAAAGAATGAACAAAAGATAAAATTGCATCTTTATTTAAAACGTAACGCCATTTTGGGGAATTTAAGAGTTGCTGGAGAAAACTTGAGAATACCTCATTGGGTTTGAAAAGTTTATATTCGTTAAGTAAAGCCCCAACAAAATTCAAATCATAATCAGAAACAATTGCTAGCAAATCCAACACTTTGTTAAACCTTTAAAAGATGAGCTCAAAAATTGAAAGAAATTACATTAAGGGATTTACCTATCTTCACTATAATGAGATCCTTCGTTCTTTGCAGTCAAAAAACGTTCAGCAAGTTTTGACAAAATAAATGTATGTGTAAAGCGGTCTTTGAAACCCTCAGAAATATTTTCATTGAAATTTGTTGATTTAAATCTAAATTTAATCTTAATTAAAAACAGATATACAATACATTAAATCCGCTACAAGCTGTGCAAAGGAATGTTCAATCCTCTTTAATTTCTTTGCTTTTTGTATGATTGGAATGCCATGTCCTGATGACAACAATATATTGACAGAATTCTTACTAAAATTAAAAAATTGCAAATAAAGTTAAATTAAAGAAATTTGGTAGACTTGGGCGAGCTGCTTAAGCAAAAATCCTAATAATGAAAATGATCGATCTTATATAAAAAATTTCTGTCCAAAAATTATATGAAAGTTGAGGTTAAAAATTAGCAATAAGGTAAACCATGAAAGAAGAATGCGAGTACAACTCATGTAAACCAGATGAAAGTCAGCAGCTAAAAGAACATGTGCCAATTGGTTAATCAACTCATTATTGCCATATTCCAACGCTTTCTCACTTGAATTTATACGGAGAATACCTGACTGCTCAATTATTTTGCGAAGAGAAATTGGAGTTGATTCATTTGCCAAAGGGTAAACAATCATATTTGAAATATCTTAATAAAACAATAAAAGTTATAACCAAAAATTAGACAAACCTAATTTGAAAGGCCAATGATTTTCTGAAATTTGTTTACTGTGCATTTCCAAAAGAAGCTCGTAGAAAAGAATTTTGAGAGTAAAACTGGATTGATCAACTGTCTGACTGTGAGTGTTTGAATCAACCAATGGAAGTATAAACTGTTGGAAAATTTGAAAAGCTTCAGAACCTTTCAGGAACTCAGAAGGTTCAGATGAGCTCTAAAAAGAATAACAAAAATTCGTGAATCAACTTGACATACATGAATAACTTTTGCCAGAACACCAACATAAAAGGAAAGAATTGTTTGACGCACCATTTGATTCCAAAAATGTTCCAAAATTGATTTTTGTAATTCTTTGAGACCAAACCCATCTAAGTAATTATAAGATGAATCAGATAAGAAACATTTAAAAAATAACCCTTTTTGAACAAAACTTCAACATATTGTCTGACAAAGCCTAGATCAATGTGGTTTTGTAAGGATTCTAAAACTTCAGATTGTAGCAAATCCAGACATTCAAAATTCATTTGGGCAGGCATTTAAAAACTAGGATTTTTAAATCAAATAATTTCCAAGAAAATTAAAAATAAAGTTAAAAAATTGTAATTTATTATAGTAATAAAACCCCAACCAATTTAATCAATTTGTTAAGAAAAGTAAAAGATAAATATTAAGGATGGGCAAAATCATATTTTCAATTTGTTTTTATGACCAAAGAATTGAGTAGAATTAAGCAAAGTTTAGCAAATAAATTAGAAAGCTTTTTGAAAAAGCTTCACCTTTCTGGCTAAAAACGTTTAATGTTCGCCAATTATTTTTTAATTTTGCCCATCCCCTAACAAAAATTAACATCAAAACAAATACATATTTGAATATCAAATTGAGATGCATGAGTACTATTTACTTTTTTCGATTACTTTTACGCTTGACATTCGATCCTTCATCATCTGAATCAACCAAAACGATCTCTGGTTCTTTTGTTCCAACAAGTCTAACCACAGTAGAATAAGAGTGACTGATATTCGAAGAATGAGGTTGTTGTTGATTTTGAGATTGATTTATCTATAATATTAAAATAGAGATGAGGATTATAAAAATTTTACAAATACATACACGAGGCAAAAAGAAATTCCCATTTCCTTCTTTAACCAACGCACGATATGCATCGACAAGCTTAAGCATTTTCTCGTAATGTTGTCTAGAGCAAATAGATCTCTGACCGCAATCAGCAGGAACATGCCCAAGAGAAGCACAATTTTTACACAAATCTCGCAAATCTCCCTTTGTAACAACTCCACGATTACAGCGAGTTTGTAACTAGAATTTTTGTTGCATTAACTTGGGTATCACGAAAAAATCAAACCTGAAGTCCAACTGGATCAACTGTTCCATTATTTTCAATCCCATCCATAATGATAAACTTTTCAAATTTTTCAGAGAAATCAACCTAAAGTATATGAAATTTTAATATTTAAATAAGATTTAAAGTAAATAGTTACCAAATTATCATCATTAAGATGCACAAAAAATACTTGAATGAATTCTTCCATTTTCTCAGTAATCAATTTGAGTGTTGAACGTGGAGCTTCAGGACGAGCACATTCGCTCCAAATATGACCCAAACCACTACAACGTTGACAAATCAATCGAGTGTGTTCCTTAAAATCGTCGTCAAAAATTTAATATAAAGACAACACAAAACCTTGGTAATCTTTCCATGAGGAGCAACAACGCGTAATCTCTGAATGAATGGATCGCTGCGCCGAACAGTGTACTTTTCAGCTTTTCTTTTCAGTTTCAATTTATCGAGTTCTTGAAGTCGTTGTTTATCCTCTGCCTTACGGATTCTTTTCTAAAAAGTAATATTGAAAAATTAAAAAGGAAAGGAGGAAAACATACCTGTAATTCATGATCAGTAATACGGGGAAGGAGACATCCTACTTGACTGTGGCCAAATCGACCGCAATTGAGACAAAGACCTAAAGCAGCATCCTTTTCCGTAAATCTGGCAGTTGTGTTGGTGCTTTCGAGTTCCTATATGCATTGAATAATAATTATTCTAATGTAAAAATTACATTTCGAATGACCCTTTGATCTTGAGTTTGAATCGGTTTTGACGGTAACGAAGGGCATACTTCTCGTGAATGTCCATCACGACCGCAGTAATCACAAATAATAGGTAAGGGCAAATTTGGAACAACTGGATTACTGGCCTGATAAGGCATCCTCCACTGGTTAGAATTTGGAGTATACTGAAAAAATCAACATTTCCGTACTTATGTTAAAGAATTAATATTCAAAGAAATTACTATATTTTTTGGCCCCAAATTCGGCGAGATACCGGCCATAAGTCCAAAGCCAGTCTGCGGTGCAATAGGATTGACTAAAAAAGATAACTTTATTTTGCAAAAATAAAGCTTGCCTTGCGGTCTCAAAGGTGCAGACATTGAAAAAGCACTGGGGAACGAACTACCTTCTTGCTGTTTACTTAAACCAGAAGGAATGTTCTGCATGCTAGAGAAATTTCCTGAAAAAGCATGTTTAATCAAAAGTAAGCACATTTGATTATAAAATATTTTCTAATGTTCTTAAGAGAAAAAAGGATAAGCGATAGTTATAGAATATTTCTAATATGTATAAGTGGATTAACTCCAACCCCCTCTAAAATTTTTAGTCAAAAAGCACCCACCTTGATCAACTGATTTTTGGAGTAAATTTGCTCCAACAAATCCTTGTGCCAACATAGAATGTGCGCGATCAAAAAGCTCTTTAAGAGAACCTGGAGTCTTGCTTGAAAGTCCAGGAGGTGGTGGCGTAATTGTCATTGGCATAACTGGAGGAGGTTGAGGAGAGCGTGCGGATACACTATCCTTCCGTTTGTAACTAATTATTTCCAAATCATCATCATCATTGCCATTACGTCGAGAACGCTCATCAGAGAAGGTGCCACGATGACGCGAACGTGATCGGCTACGTTCGGATACTCGATTAGTTGTACGCTGCCGACTTCGACTCCTTTGACGACGATCTCTGCTTCGACTCCGGCTCTTCCTGCTTCTATGACGACTTCTGCTGCGGGTTCTACGAGAACTACTTTTTCGAGGACTTGGGCTTCGACGACTGGATTTTATCGTAATAGCATCATCATTGCTAGAATTAAGTATCCACTGCTTCTCTACATTTTGATCAACAATTGTACGAATTTGATCCTCGAAGCTGGTTTCTTTGCGAGATACTTCTCTGGGGAATGAAATATTTGGTAGTGATTCTATCCTAAAATTCAAAAGGTTATTTTTAAAGTAATGAAATTTTGTAAAAAGTCAAACCAATTTTTCTTATTGTTAGCTCCGCTTTTTGCACTGCCTAGCATATTTCGCAATCTTTCCACTTGTTCAATATGTTCATCAAATGCAGTCCGCTTCCCTTCCAAAATTGCATCTCGCAACGAATTGTTTGATTTATCAGATCGCCTTGCATTCTTCCTCTGTTCCTTCTCATCTTGGGTAGATTTTGTGGCAGAATTTAAACTGAAAAAAGAATCATCCTCCATGTTGCGATGAGAACTGCCGTTGTCTTCATTTTGAATTGACTATTGAAAATTTCAGATTTTAAAAAATTAAAAGTATATCTATAAAAATTTTTAATATCTGTAAGGGAAACACAGTTTAATTCCCGAAATCATTAGGCGAAGCAGAGACAATCAGTTCAATAACGCCGATACTCTTTTCTAAAAATCTAAAAAGTCTCAACCCCACTTTGAGAAAAATTATGTTTAAAACCTTTGTAATATGTCGCTTGAATTGTGGAGTTATTAAAGTTGAAGAATCTGGTTTTTGACTCTTTGATTGAGAACTAGCAAAAGTATCATCACTTGCAAGCATTGAAAGAAGAGTTTGAAGAGAACGCGTAGTTGAATTAAAAGCATCAATCTGGGCCTGTATTTTTTTAATTGCTAACGGATCTCGTTCCTGCACCAAAAGTTTGTGCAAATCGATCAAAAGCTTTTCATTTTGCAGAATACAATCAGTAAGATTTGATTTCGCATTTGAAGTAATTAATTTCTTTAGTTCTTTCTAAAATGTAAAATAAAAGATTCAATCCTTACTTTTATCAATAACGTCCAAGAAAATTTCCTTTTCAATACAAAAATAAAAAGAGCATATAAAATGAAGAAAAGAGCAATTAAAAAGGTAAGAACTTACTTATTGTTAGGTATATTAGCATGAAATTTTTAATATAAAATTCTTACAAACCTCTTCCTTATCAGCAATAAATTCATCTCTTGATTTTTCTGCCCGCGACATATTTGAAGTTGTTGTGTTTGTAGGTGCCGCCTTCCCCGAATTTGATAAATCACCTGCACCGACACGTTTAATGAGATCAATCCAATCATCGGCAATGTTTTCGCTACGGCGTTGAACAGCCAAACTTCCAGAAGGAGCGTTAGAAATTGTATCTTCAGTTTTTTCGGAACGTTTTTGTTGAATGTCAAATTCCTCTTCTTGAAGACTTCTCTTCAGCTCAAGATCACCGCCCGAACAATCGATGTATGTACTATATTTGCTACACCAAAACATCCACTAAAAATAAACGATAAAAAACAAGACGAAAATTAGAGACCGACAAAATCGCATTTCCGTGATCCCGCGGGATTAATCACGTCGATCCCGTTCGTCGCTAAAAACCCGGGATTCCGGGAAGGGATCCCGTAAAATCCCGCCCGGGATCCCTCCCGTGCCGATTCTAATGCAAATATTAAACCTTGTTCGATTTTGGATTGTAATAATAATCAGAATTTCTGTCATAGAAAAAACCGGTAGTTGAATCATGAAAATAGCCTTTTGTTGCATCATAAACAAAATTTTTTGGATCAGGAGAAGCTATAATTATCGTTGAATAAAAAAAAAGAAAGGCAATCGGTTCGGATTCGAAAAAAGGCAATCGGGTTCGGGATTCGACTTTTTCAAAATCCGAGCTCATATTCGTAATCAGCATACTTTTTTACCCTAGAAAAAACCTTTTTCTTATTTTTAAACTTTTTTTTCGCAGGGACCCCAATTCTCCGGGATTGCCAAAAGAAATTTAAAATACCAAATGTTTGAAGAAGACCAAAAGGAGTACGAACTACGGGCTCAAGAGGCAATGACGATGAACCAGCTCCGAGAACTAAAAAAATAATGCTACATATAAATATTCGGCAATAGTGTAGTTTTCAGTCCCCATTTCAAGTTTTTCCTATAATTTGTACTGAATGGACAGACTTTTCCTTCCTTACATCAAAATTGCCTTCCTTTCTTTGTAAAGAACTGAATAAAGAATAATCATTTGTGATTCTTTGTGGGCAAAATATAGTAAGGCAATTGTATCGAAGAAGGAAAAGTCTTTCAATTTTGTACAAACTATAGGAAACTACTTGGGGAGGAAAAAATGGGAATGGAAACGACACTATTACCAAATCTTCAAATTACCTTCAATTGGAGGTCGGTCACTGGTCGCATATTCTTTTGAAAATTGTGCCTTAGAGCCGATTAACTGGCCACATTTTTTGCAAGCATAAATTCCCTTAGCATTGATACAAGCACACTATAAAACGGAGATAATTACAGGTAATAGTGTCGTTTCCCGGCCCCATTTTTTCTCCACGATTTTTTGCCCTATGTTTGTACGGAATGGTCAAATTTTCCCCTTTCTTTCATCAAATTTGCCTTTCCATATTTTGCCTAAAAACAATTAAAAAGATTAATTTGTGATATTTAAAAAAGTATTAGAGTAATGAGAAGAATCATTTTCCCAATTAATAAAAATGGAAAACTGTTGTTGTGAGACGAAAATATTAAAGAGGCAAACAACCATCAAAGAAAGATGTATGGATGATTTGGGGCGTTGAGAGAAACACCAAGAGAAACACCAAGCTTTTTGATTGTTTTTAGGCAAAATATGGAAAGGCAAATTTGATGAAAGAAAGGGGAAAATTTGACCATTCCGTACAAACATAGGGTAAAAAATGGGGAGAAAAAATGGGGCCGGGAAACGACACTATTACCTAATTACAAAAAAAGGTTTAAAGAACCTTAGCACAAATCCATTCTTTGTGAGGAAGAATAGGAAATTGAGTCGGCTGAGTGGAAACTGTTGATTGTTTTCCTGCCAACTTAATTAAAAATCAATCAAATAATTTAAATTAAAATGACAAACTAAAGAAGTTTTTACTAAATTGTTCAATGCCTGCGAATAATCTACCGAAAAACCAGGATTGAATTGCATTTGTGAGCCAGGTATTGATTGCAAATTATTCCGGGCCATGAAGAACAAATATTATAGTTATTACAATTCTAAAATATTTTAAGGGAAAAAGACATTAAAAAATGATTTATGTATGTACACACATCAGAAAATTATTAAAATTAAGTTAATATTCAGTCAATTAAACGAAATCTAATACAAAATTGTCATACGTATTCGATAGCAGAAGATAAAAATAAATTAAGGGCAGATTAAATCTTTAAAAGTGCATATTTAGGACGAAGATTTTGAAGTTAAGACAAGGCAACCAAAATTCGGCGACGAAACGTCTGCACCATTTATCAGATGGCTGTTTTGTCGCAGTTGGAAGTTTCGGCAAATAAATACGATATAAAATAATGTTACCGTAAATGTTCTAATTAAACACCTACAACGTTATCAAAATGAAAAAGGGGTGCGGTTCTTTGAATTTTTGTGTAAATAATTTAAAAATTATAAGTTACTGCCCAAATCACTCAAAATTATTCTTCTAACGTTACTCAAATTGTTTTTGCGTGTAAAATTATTTTTCAAAAAACGTTTACTGCCCAAATCACTCACTGCCCATATCACTCACTGCCCAATTCACCACTGCCGTTTTCACCAGACACGAATTAAACCACATTTGCTTCTATTTTTTGATCCTTTCGTAGGGTGTGCTTATATTAGAGAGATAAAATAGAAGTGTTGTCCTATTAGAACATTTACGGTTATTTGTGCAAGGATCCCCTCTATTTTCAATGATTAATATTTTGATTTAGTTAATTAAATTTTTAATTAGATGATTAATAATTAATGTACCGGCCAAAAATTTTTAAACACATTTTTAATGAATAATATTTAAAAAAATTGAAAAAAATATAGTAAATCACATATTGAAAATAATTATAAAATTAATTATACATAAGTATTGTTGTATCTTTAACCCTGAACTCCTCCAGTAAAAAAATTGCTGAAAATGCCAAGAAGATCTGGATTGTTTGGAACAACTGAAATTCAATGACTAAAAAATTTAACAAAATTTTTTGCCAACTTGGCACAGTTTGAGGTCTTTGAGTTGATGGGGGAGGTAGAGGGATACATTTACTATTTGCCATTTTATAACCACACCGGCAAAGACAGCGGCCTCTGTAGCATCCAGCCTGGTCTGGACATTGTTCTTGGACAAAACAGGGACCACCAAGTTGTGATTTACTCAAACAATTTGTATCCCGGCTTATACTGCTACTCTAAAATTTAAATTTTTATTGTAGTATAATATTCTTAGGCTTTTTTGCAGACTTTTGAGAAAATTTATCCCATTGAGGTAAATTTATAATAAAATATTAGCATAAATTATTATTCTTTGGTTGATCTACTATAACTAAGTTTTTCTAGCTTCACACTTTGATTCGTTAATAAAAATATATATTTGTTTACTTTATCACAGTCTCGACGACATTGTTGACTCGGATTTTTAGTAGGATGAGTAATTACATCAGACAATGGGGAAAATCCATCAATACACTGACATTGACCTATAAATTAATTTAAAAATATTATCAACCTTTTTTTAATTTTTAAATAAATTTTTTGATTAAAAGAGTAAACCTTTAACACAAGTCATTCCTTCTGCTGCTCCACACTGTTCGTGAAACTAACAATTTAACATTATTATACCAAACAAATAAAAGATAGTTTAAAAACCAACCCGACATTCAGATCCCAATTGTCCACGAGTAACACATTCCCCATTTAAATATAAAGATTCTGGAGCCATTGAATTACAAGGTCTTTTACAACAAATTGCCTCAAATATTTTTTATTTAAAAATTTTCTTTTTAAAAATACTTGGGAAAATGTGTCACCAGCAAGAAAATGACAAAAATGAGTTTCCGATGGACATGCCGGACGGGGAAGTAAATGTGAAAATATACGAGTTAGGTTGGCCAATGAAGGTGGATTGGTGGGAGGATCACGGCCTGATAAATTAAAATTAATATTAATTAAAAAAATTATTTTTAAATTGAAATTCCATTTATTTTGTATCTAATATTTTATAATCTTTGCAATTTTAAAGAAATAATTTTATATATGCTGAAGACTATATGCTGAATCCTGGCTGAACTGGATCCGGCCGGATTTTTGGGACTCTGGGTCTTAATTTCGACCTCAGAATTTTTGGGGCCGGATTAATCTAAAAAAACCGACAACATACGTCCGGAATGACTTTAAAAATCCAAACCGGAAAAATCTAATATTCCAATTTTCAACTTTTTGGGGGAATTTTTCAGTTATTATTACATTTTGCTTCATTGAATGCAAAATTAGACTAATTTGCTAATTATTTTTATTACCTTAATTTTTCATTTACAATATTAAAAATTATTTATTAACCAAAAAATGCTGAAAATGAAGGTGTTGTTTGGGTTGTAGAAACTTCGGGAATACCAAAACTTCCACCGGATATGCAACTAAATGAACTATCTACTGATGAACCTAGAGGGCATACTGCTGGACAGCAATGACCTACGGGTGATTCTGGCTGTTTTTAATATTTATATATTTTTAATTAAAATTTAACAAACAAACAGTTGTAACACAATAAAAGCCTTGGGAACAAGTATCAGCCTCCTCAACAAAGTTGAGTATTTGGCTAGGTTGTGCTTTACGGGTGCATATTCCAGCAGGTGCCCCACCTTTAATTTAAATTAAAAAATTCTCGTATAGGAAATAAGAAGTTTTACCAAGTGGACAATTAGAAGTAGCAACACATTTGCTGCCTTGCTGAATTGTACCCGAAATACAAACACATTGGTGATTAACCTTAGAAATTTATTTTTATTTAAATGATTAAAAATTATAATAAAATACACAAGCAGAAAAAGGTGATGTACAATCATAATGCCGAGAACATCGATCACCCACACGAGAGACTTTAATGAGAAATAATATATTAAAAAATATTTTTCTTAGTAAAATAATAATCACCAGATACACATTCTCCATTTACAATTGATGTTGATCCACGTTGAACGCATTGACAACGACCTCCTCTACAAAAGAGAGGTTCTCTACATTTGCTCTGGCATTCCTGCCCGACTTTTGCAGGCACTCAAATAATTAAAATAATTTAAAAATACCTATTTAAAAAACAGACATCGACTACATCTCGCTGAAGTACTTCCCCCCTTTTCAGATTTAACCATTTGATAGAAAGGATGACATTGACAAGTCTGCCGTAAACAGATTGAACCTTTCAATTCACAATCGGCATCTTTATCGCAAGACTCGTTGAGTAATGCTTTTCCTATTAATTAATTTTAAACAAAAATTTTGTAAATTTATTTAATTTCAATTGAATATTTCATAAAAATTCATCGAAGGTCGATCTTAATTACTCTTTGTGCTAGAATAATTTTATATAGAGATTGCATAATATAATGCTTGAAGGTATTGTTGGACCAAAGGAAAAAGTGAGTAAATGAGTGAGTTTTATTTAGCTTTCTAGTCCTCACTTAGAGGATATTAATGTAACGGTTCCGTGACTTTTGCGCCGAGAACATTTGCGCCGCGACTTTTGCGCCGCGACTTTTGCGCCGCGACTTATGCGCCGAGCGACTTTTGCGCCGGGGGACTTTTGCGCCGCGACTTTTGCGCCGGGCGACTTTTGCGCCGCCACTATCATTAAAAATATATCAATAACTACAGCCGGGCCTCACTTTAGTAGGGTTGTCGGATAGTTGGAAATCTTCGGATATCCGGATCCGATATCCGAACTGAAAATTTCGGATATCCGGCATTTTTCGGATCCGGATTTTTTAAACAATGGCGGCGCAAATGTCGCGGCGCATAAGTCGCCCGGCGCAAAAGTCGCGGCGCAAGAGTCGCGGCGCAAAAGTCGCCCGGCGCAAAAGTCGCGGCGCATAAGTCGCGGCGCAAATGTTCTCGGCGCAAAAGTCGTGATACCAATGTAACTACTAAATTTACAATTAAATTCCCAATTTTTATTCCTAAGTAAAATTATTTCATCTTTTATTCATTCTAAAATAAATATAAAAATATTTCTAATTTTATTTTTACCATTACAAGGGTTAAATTGTGCATAAACAAAAGTAAAAATAAATGAATTTAAAATTAAAAGAATAAATAAATTATTAAATAATTGTGAAATTTTTTGATTAAAAAATTTATTTTTTGTATATTTTTGTAAATATTCCATCAAAATCAAAAATAAAATTTTAAATGGACAATAGGTGTTTACAGCAAATTCTCGTTTGGAAGGATTTTAAATAATGTGATGATGAATGTACATTGATGAATATATAAATCGATGAAAGAGAAAAGCTGGTAATATCTGCGCAATGACTGAATTAGGGCATATTTAAAATAAATATATTTTGGGGTATCAAAATAAAATTAAAAAATTTTTTTTAATTTAAATATTTGTCTACCAAATTTCATCCCGAAGTCCCACGGACACCTCAGGCACTCTCCTTTGTTAGATATTTAAATGTTTTTCATCTTGCCCAGATTTTATTATCAACCTACAAATACTTTTATTTGTTATTTATTTTAAAATTTTTTGACATCTAATAAAAATCAATTTTAAAAAAAAAACTCGTGATATCAAATTCTTTAATTTAAAACAATTAAAAATTACTCTTTAATCTTTTTTTCTTCGGATATTAATTTCTTTTAAAATCTTTTAAAAGAAGGAACACTTATTTTCTCTCTCATTCTTTCAATTATTTATGAAGAAGAACGCTTTTAAAACTTTTTTCCTTCCCTTTAAAAAAGCGAACACTTTTTAAAAAAAAATAAAAATATTTGTCAGTTGCTTTCTGTTCGTCTGTCACTTCTTTTTTATTTTCTGAACGTTAAACTTTTTTTATAAAAACGACAAAGCATTCAAAAACGTTTTAAAAAACTTCTTTAACTAATTTTATATTTTTTAAGGCTATTAATTGAAATAAATGGATAATATTAACAAAGAGGTTTTTATAATATATTTAAATAAAAATTAAATAAAAATTTAAGTATTTCTGTATTATAATACTTTTAAAAAATTATAAAGATAACAGATGTAATCACAATAATTTTATTTAATTTTTATTGCGAGTTATCAAAAACAATCTAGTAATATCAAGACCTAAACTAATAAAAGGGATATCATATAAGGATTTAAAGCTATTGGCTCAATTGTTAGATTACTTGAAACGTGAGCTTAGTATGTAGTTTGATTACTGTGGGGTCGTTTACTGTTACTGCTACCTAATAATTAAATTATACTTTTAAGCAAACAATTTATCTAATTACCTAAATTTAGTATGTGTGAAATTAAACTTAAATATATTTAATAAAGATTTGAAACTTTTTGTCTTCAAAATAAACTTACTAATTTTTAAAATTTTAGATAAAACAAAAAGTATTAGAATCAAATTGGCGTAATGGAGGTGATTCTGCTGGATATACATTTACTGATATAGTTCTTAAAAGGTTTAGAAATTTATAAAAAAATTTTGTTAAAAATATTTATTTTAGTTTTGAAGAAGTCAAAAAGAATGGTAGACATGCAAATGCTTGCAGATTTTATGAAATGTAAGTAAAATTATTTGAAAATAAATGTGTATGTTTAAAATATATTGAAAATATAAAATTTAAAAAAAATTGAAAAACTGGGACTCCTTTAAGATGCCCCTATAATAAAACCGATATTTTAATATTTTATCAAGAATCACAACCCGAGTGACCGGATTTTTCTCCCATGCAAACTAGATATTAAACAATTTTTAAATTAATTTATTTTTAAAATTTTTAGTAATTATTATTTTCAGGTATCATCCAGAAATTGGCAACTTACGTAAATCAAAGAGTTATTCAGCATTTGCTCCAACTAATGCTATGGAATATAAGTAAAATAAAATTTAAAAAAATATAAAACTATTAAATTTCAGTGATCGTAAAGTTGATCCAGATTTACGTCCCTTTTCCTCTTATAAACCAAAACGTGGAGAATGGAAAAGTCAACTTGAAAAGGTGAATCACACACCACATGTAAAGATTAATAAAGCACCTACTGTGGCTGCTCTTCCACCTTTGCCCCCTGTAAGATAATCTTAAATTTTTTATAAAAAATCTAAAAATAGAATATTCCTTAATTTCTTACAATAATTCTTTATTCTGGGTTTATTTTCCCAGGTTATTCTTTTTTCCCAAGTTAATTGCCAAATATTATTTAACATTTTTTCCTTAAAATTATTGTGGGGCCTATAGAATTTCCGTTAAAGATCACATCACAAAGGAATTTTTATTAGAGTTTCTTCAATTAATTCCTATATTAATTTCTTCTCATAACTGATTTTCCCAATATTCATTCTATAAAATAATTTAATATTTTCTAAGAATAAAATATTTTTCTAAAAATAGTTTTTCAATTTAAATAATTAATTAATAGACATATCGCCATCAATACCCAACATCTGCAGATCTCTCCCGTTTTGAAAATTTTGCAATCTATTGGAATGGACGTGCCCGCGGTTTAGAATTATCGCAACCTTTTCTTTACGAGCCTGAACGTGATAATTACAGCATTGCAGAAGATAGAAGGTATCAACGTCTTTATTGGGCACCTAAATTTATTCCACATCAACCATCTGCAAGACATGCACGTCAAATTATGTTGACTGCTTATTGAAATGGAAGGAATAATTAATCTGCACAATTAGTAGTTTAAGGAGGAAATTTTGTAAAAATAATAGGAGAAGGGAATATTATTTTTTCCAATCAAACTAATCTTGGACAATCTAGAAAACTTTAAAATTCAGTTAAATAATACTGAAAAATTATATACTAATTTCTCAATAAAAATTAGAGAAATTTTATTTTGCCTTTACATACTTTTAAATTGAATTTTGCTTCCATCAATTAGCTTACTTTTATGATTAATGCTTTTATTTGACATTAATTTTGAATATTATGTATATACAATGTATATAAAATATATCCTAAAACGAATAAATTTCTTTATAAATTTTAAAATTAAATTTTCTAAGAAAAACAACAGTTTTAATCAGGCTTTGTAATGGATACGGATAAGTTCAAAAGGCCTGCGGATCTACGTCTGTATTCGCCGTAAATATCCGGATACGGATACCAAAATCCATGTCTTTTACCAAGTCTGGTTTTAATTTAAAAAATATTTTTGTTAGAAAAGGAATATTTTTAATTCTGTGAATTAAAATTCACAGAAATCTCTTTGAATTCAACAATTAAATTCTTTAATGTCCATTTTATTAGTTTATTTTTCAAATTATTCTTTCATTTAAGCTTTCACATAACAAAGATTTTATTTAATATTTAATCTTATCAGAGAATTTTTCCTTGAACTTTTTTACTTTTAAAAATCATTTCTTTTATTTTTTCTAAAAATATATTTTAGTCGATGATCTAAAAAAGTAGGATTAGTTTATGAAGGAAGGGAAACATTTGTTTTTATTATTTATATCCATCCATTTGTTTGTCAAATCTAAAAAACAAAAAAATTCTAAAAATATATTTATATATTAGAGAATGTATGGACGGCGTTATGTTTGGGACCGTTCTAAGCCAATGTAAGTAAATATTAATATTTAATTTTAAGGAGATATAGAAAATTTCATCAAGTATTCATCATTACTGACATACATTAGGAAATATCTTAAGATGGAAAAAGGTGACTTTTGTATGGAAATGACTAAGATCTCATTAATCAAATAAGAAATGAAATTAATTCCTCACTTATTATTGGGATATTGTGGCTCTTGTAATCTTAGATGTTTTATTTTCCCTCCACAAAAATATTGTAAATAGGGGAAAATACTCAGGAATATGGCAAAAAATATGCAGAATTACGCTAAATGAGCGGAAATTTCACTTTAGTATTCTAGGTATATTCTATAGGATATGTGTATAAAATGATTTTCTAAGATAAAATCTTAATTGAATTGAATATTATCTACTGATAATTAAATAGTTTTTTCAGTATAAAATTTTTATCTTAATTAAATATAGAAATCATTTGGAATGGGCACCACCAATGCGAGTTATAGCAGCAATTACTTTATTTGCAGCTACATTAGATTTAATGGCAGATTTTTTATTGTGTAGTAGATTAGCTGAATTTCTCCACAATTTTCAATCAGAAAGAGCACGTTTATGTGCTTATGGTTATTTTTTCTTTACTGGAGTTTCTGTACTTGTTTATATTTTTGAAATTGTTGATGTTTGTTTAACTTTAAAGAATGAAGAAGAAGATTTATATTTTGCAAGATTGGCTAAATCTATGGTTCTTGTATTTGAAGAAGTAATTAATTATTTTGAAATTCTTTTTTAAATAAAAGGGCAAAATTACAGTAAAAATATTAAGATAAATATTATATCCTGGAAAGGATTTTTGACAGGATTTACGAGATTCTCTATTTCCGAATACTTTTTAGGCTACATTTCCAAGATTTTTATGATTCTAGTTTGGAAAGACTTTTCACGGTCATATTGTAAAAATTCTGAACTTACCTCTAACGTGAATTTTTTGTAGTGTTCAGTAAAAATTCCTACTATATTTTTAAATTAATAAAAAAATCTAGTAAATTCTCTTATTAAAATAATTTTTTATCGAGAATTTCGGGGCGAATAATTTCCATAATAATTTCCTTGATTCATTATAATTTAAATTTTTTTTAAAAATAAAAATAATTATTTTTTGTGAGGTGCCATTACCAGCATTTCTTTATTTTTTGTTTACGGCCGAGCCGCGTCTTTCAATTGCTGACCCAATGTATATAGCTTCTTGGTTTTTGTTTTTAAATTTAAAAAATTTAATTTTTAATTTAAAGGATTAAACTAATTACCCTTGGATGGGGAATTGTTAAATTTACAAAATTACGTTTCTTTTGGCCTTTATTACCTTTTAATCCAAAAGTAATTAAATAAAAAAAATATTTTTTAGTTAAAAACTAATTTTTTAAAGCACGACAGACAAGAAAACATTCGTCGTTGTTTTAAATTCAATTTGTATAGATGTACAATGATTGTTGTGAATATTTGCCATTTATTTGCTATATTCATTGTTATTAACAATTTAATTGTTTCTGGAAGAGGGGGACGACCAATTCAGCAAAAATATAATTAAAATAAAAAAACATTTTGTGGAGTGAGAGGAGGGAGGAGGGTTTAATCGGTGGCAACATACCATTTTTGATTAAGTGATAATGTCGAACTTTATTAAACTACGCATGAGTAATGTATAAATTTTAAAATAATTATAGATTAAAACATTTTTTGTCTTATCATTAGAATTGTTCTTATTTTGTTTTTTCTATAATATAAAAATTTTTTTATAAAATGTTTTAATCTTATTGGGTGGATTATACATATAAAATGAAATTATTAAGAATTATTAATTATTTATTAAAATATAATATCAAATACTTCATTTATTTATTCTGATTATTCTTGTTGGATTTATTATCTAAAAAATAAATTTAAAAAGATGATTAAATTTAAAAGGATTTTTAAAAAGATTCTAATGTACTTGTAAGTTTCTCTAATCTTATGAAGTAAAATTTTAATTTTTTAATAAATTTGAGCATAAAATAAAATTTTCTAAATTATCTTTAGTATTTTAAATAAGCTTAATATTTTAGTAATTTTTAATGTTTATTACCTGGTTGAGAAAAATCAAAAGGATCAACATCCGGTATCATATCTGCATATGATCTTATAAAGGGTAATTTAACAACTTGCTTGCTAGGACAATGACTAAATAAATTATAATTAATTTAAAACAAAATTTAATTAATTTAAAAAACTTACGAAGCTGTGTGATTAAATGTTCCAGAAATTCCACAAATAGGGCATGGGGGCAAAGAACATCTAACTGGGCAGTTTAATGAAGTGTGACCATTATAATTTAGACCAAGATTGCGACAATCTTTTATTAAAAATAATATTATTTATTTAAATAAATAAAAATATTTAATTACATCCACAAACTGTTGGAAATAATGGAGGTGGTTTAGATGACATTTTTTAAATTAAATTTGAATTTATTTAGTTATAATTTAAAATTTTTATTACTTTTTTTCTGAAGGGAATAAAAAATTATTATTTAAAATTGTTTCATATTATCGAAATTATGGGGATAATATTGTACGAGTTACTTCAGGAGTTTATGTTTTAAATTGTGTTTATTTGTGTGTGTCCGGGGCGGGAGATCAACTGAGGGCCTGATCAACCCTTAAGTTTGTCCTAGGAAGTCCCGGGCATATCCCCTCCTTTATTCCATTATTATAGGGGTTTGGGCCCGCCACATGGGAGGGCCCAAACCCCAGATTTTGTAAACACCTTATATTTGAAGTTATTTTATATTTTATATCTAATAATTTAATTTTAAGTGAAAAATTTCTTAAAAAATATTATTTTTTAATAAATATCTGGGGATAAATTAAATAAAAAATTTTTTGGCAAATAAAAATAACAAAAAATAAGAAATGAAACAAATATTTATCAAAAATATTTTTTCTGATTTTTGGCAACTTCTCAATCCAAAAACATTTATTTATAAAGAATGTTTATTAAAATTTATTAAAAAATAGGCAGATGTTTAATATTTATTTACTATTTTCTGGAAAATATTTTAGAAAAAACTTTTTCTTTACGAATATTAATCAACTTTTGATTCACTTTTAATGTAAATACAAAAGAATAATTTTGATTTGATTTTGTAAACACTTTCTAAATTTTTTAACAAAAGATGATAAATAAAATGTAAAAAATAATAAATAGACAAAAAAATATTTGTATAGACCTTTAAATAAGTTTTATAAAATTTTTAAGTTCTAATATAGTCAAACTCGTTAGGTATACTATTTAATTATACAGCTCAGTTTAGAGTAAGGTTTCGTGATTTTTATGAGTGTAAACTTTAACGAGATTCAACTTTATTACACTACACACAGTCTCTCTCGATCATAATTTGATCATGGAATCTTAATCAAAAAATATCACTTATAAAATCAAAATTTTGAAATTTATTTTATTTTCAATTTATTTCTTATTTTCTTGGGATTATGTACACGTTTCATCAAATAATAAAGTAAAAAACTACGTAAATTAAAAAAGTTTTTTATATATTTATTATTTTTTTAACTTTTCATTCTCGAACACATTATTATTTTTTTATAATTATGTATTTTTTCTATAAATTATTAGTATAGAATATACCTTTAATCACCACAACTAAAAATATTCCCAATAAATTTTTATACTTCACTTACTTTTATTTATATAAGTACCTACCTACATTAAAAGTATATAGCCAAGGTCAATCCCCCCTTCTCCTTTCCAACAATCCCCTCTCCTCTTACCTTTATTTTTCAATTCTTTTTACAAAGCTTTAGGCATTCAAACCCCCTCTTTCGGTCAGTCTGTGCCAGGTCCAATACAAAAATATTATTATTATTTTCTCTTCAATAAAGTATTGTCTCTCTCCATTATTTCCCTCATTTTATAATTTTGGCATAAACAAAATTGAAAGAAAAAAGTGTGGAGAATTGCTTTATATCCAACCTTTAAAAATATACATAATTATTGTTTTCGCGCGTTCGGAATTATTTTTATTTGTACTTTTGTTTATTACTTTTTATTTTTCTTCCACATACTACATAAAATGGAATTTTTTAATGAAAAAATTTTCTAAAATTTTTAAAAATTAAATTTTATTCAAGTATACATACATATTCAAGTATACATAGCACGTTATAAATTTAGCTTTAAACAAGAGTTTTTGTGAATTTTTCAAATTTAAAATTAGGGTTGTTGGCGACCGGTTATTAACCGGTACCCTTGGTTTTCGGTTATCGCCGGTTTTCGACCCCGGTTTTTGCCAAAAACATTTTTTCGCCAAAAACACCGGTTGACTTTACCGGCTCGGTTAACCGTCCGCCACCAACCCTATTTAAAATATATTTTTTCAATAATATTTTCATAATTTTTGTTTAATTATTTTCTAAAAATTATTTTTTGAGTAATTTTATTTCTTCCTTTTATCTTTTTTACATTAATATTTTGCTACATAAATCTATAAATCCGATCAAAAATCATTTATATATTCCCGTTTTTTCTTTAAATTTCTCCCTCAAATTAAATTCCTTTTCTCTTTTCTTCTTTCTTTAATGAATTCCGCTCTCATTTTCGGATTTTTACTTACAGATTTCCATCTTTGAAATTTTAACTAATTTATATTTTTGTTTGAATTTGTATATGTTGTACTTTTTAATTTGTTTCGAATAGACGAAAGAAAAATATTTAGAAAGTTTAATTAAAAAATATTTTTTATTCTGAAATATACGAAAAATCAACACAATTTTTATTCCCTAAATTTATTAATTACAGCTGCCAGCTTAAACTTAAAAAATTTAAATATTCTTTATTGAATTGTATCATTTTCAGAAATTTTTAGTTGACACTTTAATAAATGTTACTAAAAATAGTTGATCTCCATTAAATTTAAAATCATAATGCCCTCATTCTCTCTCTCTCGTTATAAAAAATAAACTAAAATAACATTAATCATTATTATTTTTCAAATTCCCCATTAATTTTTTTAATTATTATTTTCCTTTTTCTAAACTTATATTCCAATTTTTATGTTTATTACATTTTATGCTTTATTAGAAGATGAAATAATTCCCCAAATAATGTTTTGGTCACTCACATTCCCTTCTCATTTCTTTCGCCATCTTTGTAATTTTAAACACAAATTTCACAGCAACGACTGGTTTTTATTGGATATAAAGTATAATGTCCACTAGCAAATAAATATATTTATTTCCGCCTCGCTTCTAATTTTCAAATTTTTAATCTAAGGAAATAAGAAAAAAATGCATAAATTATATTCAAATCTATTAAATGAACTTCAAAAAATTTTTTTATCCAGAATCTTTGTTGAGATTTAATTTCTGTTGATAATTAAATAGTTTAAAGGGAATCTATATGAATATATAATTTTAAAATTATTTCTATAACTCATACTTAAATAATAGTCGAATCTTTTTTATTTTACCCATCCCGAATGATGGGGTAATAAATTGAGGTATACCTAATTGTGTTAGGGATCAAAAAATTGGTCAAATCAAAGCATTTGGTCAGTTGATTGGTGAAGGACTGTAAAATTTAATTTTTTGATCAAATATTCTTTCGTCGATAAAATTTGGTATATAGTAAACACCTACTACTCTCCTCCTAATAATTCTTTTCTCACCTGATAATCCAACCTAATATCCTACCCAATAATCTACTAGAAAAAATAAAATCCAAAATCCTAAATAACATCACAACAAATCATCGAATCCGTTAACTTAGTCTTTCTCCGAAAAATTAATAAGTTGTCTAAGTCAACTTATTAATTTTTAATTATAAATTTAAATAAATATTTTAAAAATTCATTAAAAATATTGATTTAACTATATAAATATATTTTTACTAAAAAATCATTTCTTCCATTTAAACTCTAAAAACTCCGTAGAAGGACAAAACATAAAAACGGCCTTGAAAGTAATGGCGTCTCTAATGCGCAAAACTGCTTTTTTAGCAAACCATTTGAGCATTCTTATTTTTATTTTTTTAACAAAAATTTCTTCGTTTAAAAAAGATATATTGCCCTAATAATTATTTTTCTTTTCAAATTACCCGTTAACACACTTTTGGACTTTTTTCTATAAAAAATACATAAATATATTTAAAATTAAATTTATATTTTTTATATTGTTATTAAAAGGAATTTTATACATTTCTTAATTGATCTTAAATATTTATATTTAAATTCAGCAATTCAAAAACATTAGGGGAAAAATTGCAAAGTTATAGTTTCCAATAGTTCAAGTTTCCAACGAACTTTTATCTGTCAGACAATAAATAAAAACAGCTCTAAATTTAAAGATTTTTTAAGTCAGAATTTACCCTGATACATTTTTTTTCTGCTCCAGGCTTTGTAAATCTTTAGAATTATGGATCAGATTAAAAAAAATTATAATTTAAAAATGTTTTTTAAATTTTTATTTATTATTATCTCTCATAAAATCATCTAAATTTAGTAAAGACTTTTCGACGCATCATTTGCCAATTTTATGAGAAAAATTATATTAAGAAAATATAGTACATACATACTATTAACGGTTTTTAACAAAATATGTATTCACAAAAATTGTTTTCATTTTATTCTAACTCTAAGCAAATAAATTTCTTGTATAATTAATAAATTTCCTGTATAACACAAATCATTTAACTAAAAAATATACGGTTCATTAACTTTTAGATATAATTTATATTCAAATAAAAATAACAATACCTATTTTAACAATTTAATTATGAGAATAATCTTAATTAAAATCCAACAACATTTACTAATTTAAATAAACCACCAAAAATGCTTAGTGCATATGAATGTCAGAGTACTACAATTCCTTCTATAAATCCACAAAAGAAGGTATTTAGTAATTAAAAAATAATTACCAAAAAATAATAATTTTTAAAAGGAAAATAATTCAAATAATAATCGTGATTGTGTTTGTATTTTTATTTTGGGAATTTTAACTTTAGCTGTTATTTTTTCTTCTATTTGTATATTTAAATATGCTTTGAGAGACAAATTTGTATATGATGAACTTGTTGATTATTTAGGTTAGTTAAAAAATTATATTTAAATTTACCTCTTGAAAAATATTTTTTTCTCCCAACAAAATAATTTTATTTAAAATAAAAATATAGAATTAATGCTTAAATTAAATCTAAAATTATTCTTAAATATGTGTAAACATGTAGATGGGTCGGAATAGTCAGCGGTGTCGGAAATCGGAAGAGCCGTAAATCGGAACTGGCTCAAAAGTCGGAATTCGGAAATCGGAATTCCCTCTATGTATATTGAAACAATCTGTTCAGAAATACGAGTTTCAATTTTTAAACAATTTTCAAAATTTCTTCCATTTCCTCCATTAAAAAACATAAAAACTATTTACAAATTAAAAATTTTTTAAGATAAAACAGTGAGTATAAGCAAAATTAATTTTAACCCAACTCTTGGAATTTACGAATTGAGGCCAAATGAAATGGAAATTTTGGGCGAACAGAGAAAGGTTTAAACAATTAAATTTTGGACTTAATTATTTATTTATTTTTCAGTATAAATCTTTAATATGGACATTCTTTTTTGTTGATATTTCTTCTTTAATATTTTTTGGAGTTTCCGCTTTTTTCTTTTTTAGTGTTCAACAATCAAAGGGAATTATTAGAGCACTTTTTTGGGTAATAAATTTAAATAAAAATTTTATGTTTTTTTAATTTTTTGTTTAAATCCTCTCCAAAATTTGCTTATAATTGATAAAAGGAAAGTAATATTTAGCTAGATAGGATTTGTATGTGGCGAGGAGGAGTGGGGGGGGGGTTAATTTATAGGCGAGAACGCATGGAGCAAACGTTTTTTGGCAATAATTGCTAGTATTCTTGCTTAGCTAAAATTGAAAATCAAAATTAAATATGTAGTAATCAAAATTATTAAAGTGTTTAACATTTTATTAAAACAGATATGGGTAATCATTTTTGATATAATTATTAAATCTATAAAAATTTTCAAATATTTTTAAACCAATTTTTATTTATCTTTTTAAGATATTTTCAATTTTTGGATTTCTCTATTGTTTAATAGAATTGGGTGTTTTCACAATTTTAATTTCTCCATTCTCTACTCGATTACCTAACGCAACAATTGCTCTTTTAGATCATGCAATTCCTTATAATCCAGGTATTTATTTTTTAAAATTTTCAATTAAATCCAAAAAATATTAGGAGGATTAGCACAAATAGAAAGTCGATTTAATTGTATTTTTGATCAAAATCTTTATGACACTTTCAAGCGACATTCGAATCCAAAGGTAAGATTTTATATCTTTAAAGAATATTTAGTTTGGTGATTACAAATATTTGGAATGTAAAAGGACTAGGGCTCGAAAATAGTTTAGATTATCTAAAAGTGTTGGTTGTGATCGGTTCGGATATCCGAGACCGATATACTTAATATTTATGAAACCATAAATAAATTTTTTGATAGCTTATATGACAATATAACTTTGAAGTAGGGTAGTACCTTGGTCCTTCGGTTTGAGCCTTCTGGATTCGGGCGGGGTTTTGCCAAAAAACTCGTCGTGGTTTTGGAGGAGGATGTGCTACCCTATTTTGTACTAATAAATAAAATTACTAATTTATAATATATCTATTAAAATTTTAATTTAAAGAATACTTGTGACCCTCTACTATTAAACAGTTTTATACCAAACATTTTACTTGGAATATTTATTGCTATTCGGATATTTTTTGTTTCAACATTAATAATTCTTTTATTTACTCCAAATAGTTCTTTAAATAGATCAATTACTAATTTAATTCTTCGATTAAAACCGGCAATTCATTACAGAAAAAAGTTGGTAGAAATTTTAAAATTTTAATTTTGAAGAGCTATATATTTAAAAATGTTATTCTTATGCGGTAGACATTGACTTATAATTTTATTTAAAAATTAAAAATCTTTCTTATAAATTACTCAAAATTTATTAATTTTCAAATTTTCATACTGTTATATTTATATTATGTAAAGTGAATGGGAAGGGGTTTTACTCGTCGTTTTATCCAGGGTTTCGATCTTGAATTTTTAAATCCATAATTTATCAATTTAAGAATTAAATAATTTTTTTAGTAAATCAGAAAGAAATAATCAACAACAAAAAAATAAATTACCTTCTTATTATGCTTCACCAGCTAAAACAACATTTAGTGTTAAAGAACCTTCAGCACCTCAACACTCACCTTTACCTACAAATATACCTCCAATAACTCCACCAATTGGACATATTGACCATTCAATTAAGTAAAAAGAGAATAAATTATTAAAAATTAAATTATTTTCTTTTACTTTAAAAGTTATAATAATGCTGCATTATTTGCTGTTTCTGGGGCTATAAATTATGGAGGGGGAGGAGGTTCTAGAAGTTGTTCAGATATATCAATTGCAAAATGTGGAAATTATTCAACACAAGACTTGACTATTAGGTGAATAATTGGGGAATAAAAAGGGAAAAAATTATTGGAAATTTAAAAAATTAAAAGAGAATTCCAGTCTTAATTTTAAAGAAATTTTTTAAAAAATGTATTTAAAGAAAAAATTAGAGTTTAACTAAATTCTATTTTTGGAAAAGAATATTCTTAATAAGTCTCTTCATCTTTTCAATATTTTTTTCAAAAAAATAAATAAATTAATAACAAAATTTCAGAGGAAGTACACACACAACAAACAGTCTTGTCTCTGAAGTTTAATTTAAAAATTTAACAATTTTTGCTCATTTTTAAATATCTCATCAGCCATTTAATAACTGCCAATTAATTTATAATCAGGCTATGATTAAAATAATTTTTAATTAAATATTGAATTATTACAAATTTAAATTATTAATTATTTAATTAATTAATGTATGCATACATTTAAATACTTTTTTTTCAAAATAATTAATTTATTTCTCTTTATTTTTAATTATTTGTAAACTCTTTCTTTTATTCCACTACGCATATTCATTGACCTTTTCCTTGTAGTCCAATCAATCTGATCCATCTTTATTGGCATATCCTTTAAATATTATTGTTTAGTGTATAAATTTAAATAATAATTTAATCCTAATTGATAAAAAAGATAGGTCAAATATTTTAAGAGACTTATATTATTAATATCGAATTAATGTAATACTAGATATTCAATACAATTTTATTGTAAAGCCCAGTGAAATTGAAATTTCAGGATTGAGATTAGAGTATGACGATATCGATATATTAGGAAAATTCGATATTAATATCGGTAGATATTTGGGACGATATTCTCGTATCGGGTTCGAGATCGATATCGGATGAAACCAATATCGATATCGGAGAATGACCGATATCGATCTCGACTTGTCCTACCCTAATTGAGATGGTTTATGTAAAATAAGTCTAATAAGGATTCAGAGTCGTTAACAATTAATTTATTTCAATCCCACGCCGAATTTACAAATTTCGTTTGGATTAGGATTTTGGGTATGTATGTATTACTTTTAAAATATATTCAATGTAAATATATCAAATAATTCCATAAATATACTTACATCCATTGTCATAGTTCCAATTTTTCGAATTCCATAAGCATTATCTATCTTCAATTGTTCAATCGACAATACTTTACTCAACAATAAAAAAATCAAAAAGAAGGAAAAAAGCTTCATTATTTTTTAGTTTTGTAAATTAATGAGAAATATATTAAAAATAATAATCATTTCTTTTCGAGTATTTTCATTCTTTAAAAAGGCAATGGAAAAAGAAGCCTTAAAATTTCTTTATTTTTTGTCGAAAAATATAAATATTTCCTTGTCGTCACAAATATCCTTTAAATATTTATCGTTAATAAAGATGACATTTTATACCTAAAATATCTCCATTTGCGTCGGTATGCTACTGTAATGTTTTTTAAACTTAGTAGATTGTTATCACTTAAATTTTCTTTAAGATTATTAAAACTTATTTGAAACATTTTAAATTATTAAAAGAAATTTTTAGCCAGACAAATTTTTAGATTTTAATTTTTAGGTTGTTTACAGAACATATTTTTGCTTATTTTTAGTCTATATTTTCGTTTTTTCATTAAATTTCATAATTTTATACACATAAATTCTTATATAAATCAATATTACAAAAATCACAAAATTTTTATTTTGAGTAAATACGTAATGAATTCCAAGTTTTGTAGGAAGAATTTCCGACTTAAGCCAGGAAATAACATTTTGTTTTACTCATTTTTTATAAATATTTATATTTATATGAACTTTCTTATTAAAAATCTTTTTTAAATTAAACAAAAAAAGTCTTCTTTTTAATTACTTTTTAAATTTAAAAAGCAAATAACAGTTATTGCGTATTGTTATAGTAAACTTTTTATTATTAAATGATTACTTATCTATTATTTTTTAAAATTTCTTAAATTTATTATTGTATTCTAAATTTATAACAAAATAGAGAATTAAATAATTAAATTATTCATATACGAATCGAATGTTTTAAAAAATTATTTCTGAAAGTATTTCAAGAATAAAAGTTTATGTTGAAAACAGTCACTAATACAAAATACGTTTTTAAATGTACAAATGTACCTCTCGGATCTTTATTTTCTAATGTTTTTGTATACAAAAATAAATAAATTTTTTGTTTCAATTCCAAAACCAGTTTTTTCCAATCTATTTTCAAATTAAAACCAAAAAGATGTTCTACTGGATTTAAAACTAAAAGTAGGAAAACTGTTTAAGAATAACGAGTTTTAAAAAAATAAAAAATAGTAATTATGCCTACTTAATTTATCTCAAATAGAAATAAAGATTTGAGTAAAGAACTGCTTTTAGATTGCCCACAAAATAAATAAAATTTAAAAATTAATTTCCAAAAAATGAATAAGCAAAATTTAATTTTTAAAAAATTAAAAATAATTATCTTATTATTTTTTAAATTTTATTTTCAACAAAATTTGGCAGAAAATAAAGTTAATTAATTAATTAAATTAATTAAATAATTATTTTTTTAGAAAATAATTTCCTCTTTTTTACAAAATGAAAGTAATAATAAA